AAAAGCCCTGAAAGTTTAAAGGAAGCCTAATCCAAACTAGCTACTCCGTGCCGCGTGTAGCCGCGCGGCACGGGGTTCGAACTGCCGGCATTTAAAAATGGCGCCGGCCGGCTTTATGCAAATGAAGCCCGGGAAATTCAAATCCCGGGCTTCATTTGCAATTGCGGTATGACTACATTACCCTCCTATTTCGAATTAGGAGGGTAGTGTAGACATACCCTTTGAGACAATCTTGTACAGTATTATGAATTTAACAACTACACACTACGAAATCCAGAGAACCTACATGTCATTAGTGATATGAGATATAGTGTCTTTCAATACTTTGGGCCCATTTGTGAAACCCAAATTAATTTTTGTTTGGTGTAGCTGCTTAGTAAAGCCCATGGGACAACTCTAAATAAAAATCAATCACATAAGTAAGGGCAGTATGATTTATTGCTGGATCCAATCCAGCCCAGGCTGTTGATATAGGCAATGAATTATTATTTGGTAGATATTTACTGGGCTGGAGAAGGTGAAACAAAAGAGTGGCATCAGTCCTGTTACTGAAAGGCATCCCATGATAGAGGTCAAGCACTGTGGGCCTGATCCTCTGCTCAAGTGCCCATTGAAAAGTGGACACTGAATTATCTCCTTTCATGCAGAGATGGTATTTCTTGGGAAAGGGTGGGGCACATTATCAGAGTAGTGTGGGGATCCCTTCTTAGCCATGACTTATTCTGGGTTAGGCTGTCATTTCGGCTACAACTACACTGCACATTTATTTTGGAATAAGCTATTCCGGAAGACATATTCCGAAATAGCTTATTTCAAAATAGCATGTCTACATGCCAAAAGCTCATTGAAATAGCACTTAGCTATTATGAAATAGTGTCTCCACACTGGTTGGACGCTAAATCACATTTAAGGCCACCTAGAACTACTTCAGGCCGAGCATCAGGACCGCACTTACTTCCCGTGGCTGCTGCCTGAGGCTATCCGAGGCTCTTGCTTAAAGGGACCCCAACCCCCGTATAGCAGTGTCTCAGGCTCTTTTCCTTTGCCTACCTCCTTCAGGGACAGCAAAGCCTTTTCTCTGCCTGCTATGGTAGCCCTTGCAGATACCTCAGCTCTCTAGACATGGAGTAGGAGCTGCCTTTGGGTAGTTGACGGCTATTGCAGCTTGTGCTGCACTTCATGCAGCAGTTTCTGTAGGCTATTGTCCCAGAAAGGTGGTGAATTGAACTGCTGGAGTGGGGTTCCCTAGGCAAAGCGTGGGACAGGGGAAGGTTGTAAAAGCCCCCTCCCTGGGAGATTTTTTCAGTCCCGCCCTCACAAAGCCCTGCCAGGGTAAGTGAGGGGGTTTCTCCTGGTGTGTGTGGGGGAGAGGGGTTTTGGCCTTGGGGACCTCCCAAGGGTCCTGGCACCCCTGTGATTCTCTGTTTGTTTGTTTGTTTATTTGTCTGTCTCCTTCTACAGGTGGTGTGGGCCAATCAACACCATCTTGCTGCACAGGGTCAACTTCAGCAACATGGATGCCATCATCGCCGGCTTCCCCAACTACAGGGGGGCTATTGACAGCTCCCACATCCCCATATGGGCCCTCGACCACCAGGCTTCTGTGTACATGAACCAGAAGGGGTACTTCTCGATGGTCCTGCAGGATGTCATAGACCACCGGGGCCAGTTTATGGACATATACGTCTGGTGGTTGGGGATGGCGCATGATGCTCATGTCTTCCAAAACTCCAGTGATTTTAAGAAACAGCACCATCCGGGTTGGGGATGTGGACATACTAACGTGCATGGTGGGGGACGGGCCTACCCTCTCTTGCCTTGGCTCATGAAATCCTACACCAGCCACCTTGACCAGGGTAGCGGGGCTGGCATGGGCAGTGAGGGTGCATTTGGGTGTCTGAAAGTGTGGTTCAGATGCCTCCTCACCTGGCTGGATCATCCCACACATGGTGGCCATGTGCTGTGTCCTTCACAATATTTGTGAGCAGAAGGAGGAGGCATTCCTCCCTGGGTTGGGGGAAGCGGCTGACTGCATTGGCAGGGCCTTCAAACAGCTATGTATGGCTGCCATCCGGCAGGCCCATCAAGGGGCTTTGTACATCTCGGAGACCCTGAGGGGGAGTTTCTCACAAGGACCTCTGTGACACTTTCCCCTCTCTGCCTTTCCTCTCACACCCTTCCCTTTCCTCCTTCCGCCGCTCCCTGTAGAGATAATAAAAAAGACAGTTTGTTTTGGAAAAAATAAACTCTGGGTTTTTTTTATTTGAGGTAGAGGTTACTGGGGAGTGACTGGGGAATGAACCTGGGAGAGGGGAGTAGAGGGGATATGAGACCCTTGCAGGGGGTAGGAGGGAGCTAGAAAGTGGGGAGAAGAGGTGAGGACAGGATCAGGGCTGTGAGTAGGTGTGGTGCCTGGCTCTGGTGATCTCACCACCATGGGTGTGGGGGCCTTGGCAGACACAGTGGTGGTTGGTGGGAGAGGCAGGAGGAGAGGGAGCAGGTGCAGGTGCAGGCAGCATGCTGGTGACCAGGGATTGTACCGCCACACACATGATGCAGCCCTGATCCAGCCTCTCCTGCCAGGTGTCTCTCCACAGCTGGATATCTTTCTGAAGTCTGTGATCCAGGGTCAGCTCCATGGATCAGACTGCCACGAGATGCTCCCTGTGGTACTTGTCCATGTGCCTGCGAGTCCCTCAGGTTCTGGAGGCTGCCCCAGGTGGTGTCAACCATCTCCTTCTCACAGCTGGTCCAGCTTTGGATAATAAAAAGAGACAGTCAGTCATCCCAGGAGCCACTGAGCCTGAAGCCCAGCCCTCATCTCTGAGCCAAGAGTGAGAGTTCTCAGCTTAGACAAAGGCAATGTGCTTGGAGCAAGGCTATGTGCACTCTAGCCAGTGGGCCCTTGCCCGCAGGGCCTCAGATGTTCAAGGGGGGAGCCTCACTACCCTCCTATCCCAGGGTCAAGCAGGCATAGGAAGGTGCCGGCCAGACTGGGATCCTGCAGGTGGGAGGCGGGGCCACTGGGCAGCTGGGCTCCCCTCCATGCCACACAAACACTGGGTCTGGCAGTGGTCGCATTCTGCAGGGAGAGAACGTCTCTCCCTGCCTGCTGGAGAAGAGCGGGACATGGTGTTGGGGGGAGGCGGGATTTGTGTGTGAGCTGCAGATGCTCCTCTGCCTCGCTGCACTGTCTCTAGGAGTGGCTGCTGCCCTGAGAGTGTGGGCATGCCAGTGTGCCGTGTGCGGCTCAGCTGAGGGTGTGTGTGTGTGTCTCCGAGTCCCCAGCCTACTTCGAGTGGTGGCTTGTGGAGGGACGATGGGAGGCTGTTTCATCCCGGTGTCATGAGTAGTAAGGCAGGTCTCTCCAGACACCCTGTGGCCAATAGAACAAGGGTCTTCTGGTGCTGCCCGCTGAGGCTGTGTGCCCCGAAGTGCCGCTGCATGTGCTTCCATGTGCACAGACTGCTGCATGATCCTCAGGCCACAAAGGCTAAGCGAGGAGCATACTCCAGCCCCTCGCTTCCTGCCCCCTCCATTCTGTGTGCATAGGGAACATGATGGCACTCACCTGATGTGCCTTCCCAGGCTCAGACAATGCCTGGGACACATCTATTGTGTGGGGTACCAGTTCCAGGGCCAGCATGGTGACGGTCCTGGCCTTGTCCGGCTCCTCCTCCTCCTCATTGGTTCTGTCTCCCAGAAGGATGATGATGGACATCTCGAGCTCTGAGTCCACTACTGTGTTGGGGGGAGGCAGGCTGCCCTGCTCTCTAGGATGTGGTCCAGATTGTGAAGTAGGGGCAGGAATAGCGTTCTACCCCAGAGCGGGAGCTGTGCTTTCAGGTCCTGGCATATACCTGGCGGAGCTCTTTCACTTTCATCTGCACCTGCTTCTGTGTACAGGTGTATCCTGGGTTGGTCAGGCTCTCAGCCATCCAGCCATACATATCCCCATTCCTGCATCTGGTGTGGAGATTCTGGAGATTTGCCTCCTCTCCCCAAACTTTAATGAGGTCCAGGATATCTGAACCTCTTTCAGGCCCGGCAGGCTCCTAGGAGCTGTCTGACTGCTCCCTGCGAGCAGTGGAGAGCTGGGTGGGAATAGCGGACTGGCTCATTGTGGCCAAAATGCATCGCTGTGGCACCTGCTGGGTGGCTCAGGGCTGCCAGGGCCACCTGCGTGCCACAAGCCCTTTCCCCTGAGGCTTCAGTTTTAAGGG